GTGTGTGTGTGTGTGTGTGTGTGTGTGTGTGTGTGTGTGTGTGTGTGTATATACAATATACATACATGGCATGTATGTTAATGTGTATCTAATCTTGGCTTTTGGATTCACTGAGATCCATGAGTTGTGGGGGAATGTTTAAATTTCATCTTATGTAGAGTGCATAGTGCTGTGAAGAGAACTTTATCCACTAAGAGGATTGGGAACTGCTGCTGATAAATCAAAGGCTCTGACCCTAATTTACCCGTGCCGTTTTGCTAAAGTTCTCAGAGTAGCACAGAAAAGGAGTCTGAATGCACTTGTGCATGTGTGATGCCACAGTACAACCTGCACATGTGTTTGATCCTCCTAATTGTGTGACCTGTGCTACACACTTTAATATGTGAAAGCATGCAGACTTAGTGTTTATATGTTAAATCAAATAACTAAATAAAATCCCAACACACATGCATACCTCAAACTTTATGTCTTGTCTTTGTATAAAACTGCCTCATTCAGTAAGTTAAGATCCACCCATATGGATCTTGTCTGATTATCCTCTTCATTTCTATGTCCGTAAATAAAGCAAAAGTGGACAATAAATGTTCTAAAATAGATGTCTGATTTATATCAGAGTCCAGCTGGGTTTGGGTGTGGAAACTTCAGCAAACCACATTTGTGTCCATGTGATTATTGTTTCCAGATTGTTCGTCAGTTTGTATTTGTTCCTTCATAAAGTCAAGATCAACATCCAGAACAAGCTTTTTATCATTTCCTTTCTTTTTTTTTATTTTATGAAAGACATAAAGACTAACATCAACACACATAAACAAGATCTTAAAGGGGCAATATCATGTAAAATCAACTTTTTGAGTTTTATATCATGTTGTAAAGTTATACTCTCATAAAAACATGCCCAAAGCCTTGCTTTGACTCATTCATGCATGTTTGAGAAATACTGCAGCATTTTTAGGCAGCCATGCTGAGGAGCAAAACGACAGGTAGGGACCAGAAACTCCTTTTGGGACAAGAAACGCCCCTGGGACGTGTATTTAAGCCAAACTTCCTCATCACGGAGCACACCTCCCCACCCCGTCCCTCCCCACACACCCCGTCCATGACTCCTGCAGGCTCTTGGGTGAAACTGAAAGTGAAAGTGAAACTGTCTGCTGAGCTGCTAACACTACTTCTCACTCATTGAAGCTCTTTTCAGATT